AACCAAGTGAAATCACCTTTTCTTCATATGTTGAAGTTGAACTTCAGCAGGGTATGTTGACCATTTCTTCATCACTAAATATGTAAAGTTGTTGCGATGTTATTAGCTGGTTATTTGTAAATAGTTTTAAAGATGAAAATTCAAATGATTTCAAGAGAAACCCAGAGTTTTACAAACTGGAAAAACACAGCATAAAATTCTAAGTTACCACTGAGGTGCTCTGAGCACGGCACCGTCCCCACACACTGCTCCCTGGGGGCTCAAAAAGCTGTTGTTGTTCACTTTGGTGATGGGTTAAATGCAAAGGTCACATTTCGTTATGTGTAACAATGACAAGAAGTTCACTTTCCTTTCCTGCCTCTCCTTTCTTTGAATCCGTTTGTATTCTAATGCAGCGCCACATGAGGGCGCTGTTAACCAGCGAATTCATAGGTGCGATTCTTTGAACCTATCTCGGTCAAAGAACGCCAGCTCTGAGATTCACACCAACTCAAAGCACAGAAGTCTAGTATTTGCTTGTGAATAAACGAGCTCAGAGCGCCAATTCACACGTCATTCCTTTATTCATTTATCAGTGCTCACAGAAAACAAACTGAACACTTAAGTAGGCAAATGTCACATTTCATGTTGAATACGGTGAAGCCCCCAGGTATGTACAAAGAAAGATGCTGTTCCAAGACTGCCCCCGCCCCCCTCCACCCCAGACCTGCCTATATTTTTTCTTGTGCTTTAGAGCAAAAGTGGTGTTGTAGTCATCACAGCTTGATGCAAAAAATCCGCTTAAAACATCTCCCAATTTTATTCAATCTTACAAATGGTGAAAAACAAGAAAAAACTTCATTTACAATGGGTAATCTGTTAAAAACTTCAGTCATTTTTTTAGGTACATCTCAGTCATAAAACCAGTAATATCAAAGTCTATACAACGTGCATTACTAACAGAGTTTTGAAATGGTGGAATCTACTGGAAAAGTGATGAGCATCTAATAGTTTGGACACATAACTAAATCTAGTTCAGTCAGGAATGGTCATGTCCACAGGAGCATTGAGCGTCAAAGAATTGTAAACAACTGTGCACTGCAAAGACAACACCTAAGACTTGGTTCAGGGTCTTTTGTACCCTTGTAAAGATCACAACGTGTCAAAAATTGCAGAGACAGCTTTAGCTGCTACATCCAATTGCCCAGCACCAAATACTTAAGATTAAATATGTCAAATTCAGCAATGTGTCAACACAGTCATGGGTTTCATGTAGAAAACAAAAGAAAAAAACATTCGCACCCACACTCATACTTTCACACTCACCCACATCACAAATGCAAAGCACCAATGAGCAGTGAAGAAGCAGCACACTGGCCAGTACACCTCCTTCCCATCACTGCCATGGACATTGCAGTCATTATGGATGGGATAGTTTCAGAAAAGTAAACAGAACACCACCAAAGAAACAAAAAAAAAATCCCTGGTTTTAGACAAGTCCTCGCATTCCTTCAGACAGGCTTCATTTTCTCCTTCATTCTCGCGTCACGTTCAGCGGGTTTCCCGGGCGGCGCCTGCCACTTCTGGGCTAGCTGCTGTTTCTGCCTCAGCGGGTGAAGCTTCAGCTGGTTTCTCCTCTCCACCTTCTGCAGCAGCTGCAGCACCGTCGGCCTTCACCTCTTCCTCAGCTTTTGGTTCTTCAGCTGCGGGGGCCTCCTTGTCTCCTTCCTCTGCAGCCTCTGCTGGCTTGGTCTCCTCAGCAGCAGCTGCCTCCTCTGATGCTGCCTTCTCTCCTTCGGCCGGTGCAGCCTCAGCAGCAGCTCCTTCCTCCGCCGCCTCCTCAGAATCCTTCTTGGTCTTCTTGAAGGAGAAGCCACTGAGCTTGAAGGAGGGCTTCTTGAAGGAGAAACGCTTTTTCTTCTGCTTGCCATCCTCACTGGTGGATGGAGTGCCCTCCTCTGGCTTGGCAGAAGCCTCGCCGTTTGTCTCCTTCTCTCCATTGGCTTCAGCACCCTCTACTTTCTCACCTTCTTCTTCTTCTTTGGGTGCCTCCTCGGTAGGAGTGCTGCCATTGGCCTGGACGTCAGCTTTGTTTGCCTCCTCTGCCGTTGGAGACGCGTCTCCATTGGTCTTGGCATGGCCATTCTCCTACAAAACAATACAAGTTTAGCTCCAGAATGCCACTGTACAATAAGGCAACCAATGAAATTATCACATAATTATGTTATGATATTAAAGAAAAGCAATTGGTTAAAATGAACATTTTAAATACCTTTTGTTCAAAACATTAGCTAAGTCAGCTGTCCCGTCCAATTCCGTTCATATAATAGTGTTAACATTCACACAATACTATGGTGCCTATTTTATTTTAATTAAACTAAACTGTAATATGAGTAAAAAATATTAGACAAATATTAATCAAAATCGAATCAATCCGTTAAACATAAAAATAAAACTGGACGCAACATCGCCACCTGCAACGTCTGACTCGCCCACATCCAATTTAATGCGCCGAGTACGTGGTAGCCAATAGAAAAATGACCCCAAAACTGCAGCAACATCTGTTACCAGGAGAATGACGACAGATCTGTGGCTTCCAGCTAGACTGCAGTACTGCCGGCGGCCAGCAGACGGGGTTCGGTGTGGCGGAAACAACATGGGAATTTGGGGAGGAGGGGTGGTCCATCTTTTGTCTACAATAGTCAGCAAATTTGTGTTTAATATTCAATTGTAAATGTGCAGCGTGCATTTTTGTGTTGATTTGTCCGAGTTTATTGATTTACAGGGCGTGCATGTGCCCCAAAACGTGGCTTCTTTCTTGAAGCCTGGCAACAAAGGCGTGGTAGGGTTTTGGGGGAAAAAATGGCCATGCCACAGCAAGGGCTGCCACAATCCTCCTTTAGCTGCACAGATAAAGCAACAGTGTCGAGAGAAAAAAAAAGAGCATACACTTAACCTGTTACATATATATATATATATATATATATACACCTTTTTTTAAAAGAACGTTTTCGGGGGAAAAAAACAGATCGCATTACTGCGGACACATCTTGATTTAAAATGATGAATTAAAATTCACCTATTGAATATCATTACGATGTTTGTGCGTTTTGTAGGAATTAAGGTGTTTTTGTAGAGGTGCATTTGCAACAAAGGGGATTCTTCGTGTGGCCACTTTCCCTGAATGCCGGTGAGCATGGAGGGATGGAGAACGCCATTGAAGCAACACATCGTTGCATAAAAACACAAAATCCGCCTGGATAAATGTAATTCTTTCAAAGTAATTAAATAATATTTACCTGTCCGTTTGTCTTGGCAGCCACAGCCGCGCCTTCTGCGGCCTTTTCCACCGCAGCTTCCTCCTTCCCGGCGGTTTTGGAGATTTGTGCTCCCATGCTTTTTGGGTCCAACAAAGGAACCGATGAAATGAATGAACAAAGACCGCAGCGCTTCCTTCCTCTTCCCCAAAAGAATCTGTCCGCTCAGACCCTGACGCCTCCTTCAAACCAGAAGAACACAACTTTCTGCACGAAACCCGAGTGACCACAACGTGTAGGAGCTGGCGCAAAAAAAATGTGGCGAAGGTGCAAACAAGAAAGGCGAATTCTTGTAATTTTTCTCTCTCTCTTTCTCTCCTCCTCCTCTTTGAGCGGAGTTTGTAAATGGAGAAATTGGCCCCACCGCAAATGAGATGCGGAGTACAACGCCCAAGTCCGCGCGTGAATGGGTGCTGTGGCTTTGACGTCACACGCCGCCGCATCTGCGCCAATCGAAAACCAGGAATCCGACAAACGGAGGCGGAGGAGGTGGAGGGAGGGTGATGGCGGATGGTGGTCATGGACAATGGAAGAGACACAACAACATGGCCAACAACTAGTTTTTATAGCCATGTTGCACCGCACAAAGTTGATGGCTCGTAGTAGGACATTTAACAAAACTTCCCAATGTCAAGCAGACATTTAAACCCCTTTATTTACTCTAGGTTTAAAAAAATGATTCTGAATTTCAAAATTATGAGAAATATTTCTTTGTTTCTTATGCACAGTATTTTTCTGCTGCATTCACACCGTGAACTGTGCTCAGTTTATTGTAGTTTAAACGTAGCATCTTTCAGTAATTTAGCCTAGCTTGGTACTATGTTTTTATGTTTTAATCACATGGTTAGTTCTTCTGTTTTATTGTTTATACCAGTCATAAATGTGTCTTTATTTCACTGGCTGTTACCTGTGTTAAAAATAGTGTTACTTCTTGTATAAAAGCAGAATAAAATGACAGTAAAACTCTTAAAACAATTTAAATTGAAGCTGGGAAATATTAGACAAACTAGCGCCCCACAAACTAACATGCTCACAGCAGTTTAAAGGACCTCCAAGTTCAAAACAAAGATGGCTGCTGGTTGTAGCAAATGCTGTTTTTTCTCTGTTTCATTTCAGGTTTTTTTTGTATTATTATTTTATTTTAAGCCTGTGTACAGATGCACATTTTCAAATTGAAACTGTATTTGTCAGCAGTGACATTAGTCAAGTCACGTCTCCCAATTTTAAGCTCGCTGTATTTAAGAGAAGCCTGAGTTTAAAACAAAGAGAGCTGCCTAATGTTTCAACTGTAGCAAAAACAGTTGTAAGGTTGTTTTTTTTTTTGTGTGGTCTTTTTGTCCTTTTCAACAACACACACCCTGCAGTATATATGCTATCATAAACATATTTAAATGATACATTGTTATAAGGCCTTCAGCTACATGTAACTTCACTTACTTCACTCATAAAAACCTTGTGCTCCTCTGCAGGGGGTGCTATTGAAATAGTTTAGTGATTTTCTGATCCGTGATTATTATTTTAATATTAATCCTATCTTCCAACTCACTCAAAACATTTTCCACAAAATCAAATGTTATATTAAGAAGAACTGCTCAGATGTATCTGCTCAGAGAGGTTCATGTTTTCATATCCTCATTCCAGATTAATCATCTCACTTCTGTCAAATGGGTTTTTTCATTGTTTCACAGACAAGTTAAACAAAAGTATTAGTTCCAGGACTGTCTACAAAGATGACAACAAAAAGAGGCTGCATTTACAGCACCACCGAGTGTCATATCAAACTGTGCCTCTGCTAAGTCATGCACCATAAATCTATGATGATCCATGATAAATTGATGCCTACATGTGATGTTGTGTTTTCAAATCAATAAAGAGTTCCACAGAATAACGTGGTTTGTGGAGAAACCGGCTGCGGTTCAGATGAGAGATGGAGGTGGCACAAAATTTTAACAGAGGCGGTGCCCGGGAAGTACACAGTGCCTTTCTGTAAAACTTCACAAACTGGCAATACAAATAGTAATACAGTACAACCTAGTGCCTCAACCCATGATATTTAAACCCGAAACCCTCCTGTGGGTGAGACATGTACATCGATATCTGACACTGAATAACATGTTCTATGACATTAGTCAAAACGACTATGTTAAGATATGCCAACACAATAAGAACCAGCATGTTTTGACAGCAGAGCTGACAAAGCAGAGCTCAGCTGGCTTCACATTATATCATCATGCAGTTTCCTGGCAAATGTCTCTGCCCAGTAAACAGACATCTCCTCTTTCCAGCCTTCAATGCCCACAACTTCACCCATTCCTCTTCTTGCATAATAGTGTCTTGTCTGCTTGTTGCAGCTGGACCATCCCAATGACCCAGATATAATCAGACTTTATGGTCCTTTTGCTGCTGATGCCCTCTTCCCCTCCTCCTCCTCTTCCTTCTCATCCTCCTGGCAGCTTGCAGTGCTCCAACTCCACCACCAGCTACAAGTCTTCACTATCTCTCTCTCTCTCTCTCTGCCATCACTGCATGACCCACATCTCCATGGTAACCAGTTTAAAATGGCCTCGAGGAAGAGGAGGCTGAGTGTGGACGGCTGAGCGATCATGACTCGTGGTGAAGACGAATCAGGGTGAGAGTGAATTTAAAACTGAGCCGTGCAGACGGCAGTTTGAGGATTAGGATGACCTCGATCACCCCTCTCTTCATCAGCCTTATAACTAGGCCACGCTGATTGTTGTAATATGCTAATTTCATCTACGGTTCTGAATAATCTGAATTAAGTAATCTCGAGAACAAAGAGTAAATGTTTACTATAATTAACACCCAAATGTATTAAAAAATGTATTTAATTGATGTTTGTCATTACTAAGTCACTATGTGTCAGTATGCAGGAATTTATCTATTCAGAGTATTGTCATACTGAACAAAATCTTCCACCTTTATTTTTTTCCCCCCATAAAAACAGTGAATACATATAGATCCATGACCAAAAATGATCAAAAAATGTTTGCCGAATGCAGACACATCTAGGCCACATGTTAGCAAAAATGCTAAGGTAGCCCTAGCCTGAGCACTCAGTGCTGATACACATATGTTCAGTGGTTGTACATCTCAGTCACTGTGTCACAACTTCGAGTATGTCACCAAAAGTGTATACCAACACTGAAATCAACACTATAACATTAAAATACCTTCAAACTTTCTTCCACAAAACAAAGTCCGTTTCCACCCATGCTGGGCTTTGAGCTGCTTCTGACCCTCCCCCACCACTTTTCCTTTGAATTTTAATGGCAGCTGACATTGTGTTGTATAACTGCCACCGACGTGGGTCTATTTTTGAAGTATCAACTCAATGTGATTTTTGAAAAACTTTAGAGTTTAGTGTATAAAATCTAACAAAAAGTGAAACATTTCTCTAAGCATGGCCATGTCAGGACTCTGTGGCCTATACTTCCACTACATTTATCTAGGAAACATATGGTTATCATGTACCTTTTACCCATATACTGTATGGAAAGTTTTACATGGGAACCAGATAATGTCTGCAGGTATTGAACCTTCAGACAAAGCTGCCCTGATTGTTAGACTATTTTAAACACAGGTGGACCTCACATGCAGTAGAAGTTCTGTAGTAGAAAGATAAACTTGATGGATGCCGTACTGCACACGTGTCGAACTCAGGCTCGGAGGCCAAATCTGGCCCGCAGTGTAATGACAGGACTGTACTGACAGGAATAGTAGTATTAGCAGTGTATGTGCTATGTTATAGCAAATACATTTTCTTTTTGTTTTTTGTTGTTGGCCTGTCAAAAAAGATTTACATTAAAAAGGACCTTGAAAGGCTACGCAAAAGTTTGATTCCATATGGAATCAAACTTTTGCGTAGCCTTTCCGTATGAAAGAATTCTACATTCTAAATCTGGAAAGAAGGGAAAACATGCACAATTGCTGCTTGCTTTTTCTGTCAAGCTGTAAAGTTTTTATTTTTATTTTTTTAGTTTTTAATTTTGGCCCACTGTGAATTTGAGTTTGACACCCCACCGTACTGTCCTTCACATTACTCCACAGACAATTGTGCAGCTTTGTTTCTTTTTGAATTCAAATTTCTTCTCATGACAATAACCATGTTAATGTAACTGAATTAAAATACAAAAGTTTCCCGCTCTTGCTGCCGTTATGTCTTTCAACTAAAACATATTTGTCTAAAAAGAAAATAATCATTTAATTTTACCATATTTATTTACTATATTTATTTAAAGCTCCCGAGTCAAAATATTAAACTACCATCTGTTTGTAGGAACAAAGCTGGAGTATGCAAGTCCACATTTCTAAGCAACACAAAGTCTACATTTCTACTATAGAAGACCAAAAACAAAATAGATAAAATTGAGTGAGAGCTGCATGAATAACAACAGACCATTTGTCCAGCCTGTCCTGTTTTTCAGTCACTTCACAGACGAGGCGGTGTTCTCATCTACAGTGTAATTTCTGGTTGGTGGTAAACTGTGTCAGTCATTCATATGGTCGATGTGGATCCGCATCAGCCGTACGCAATATCATCTTCGTCGAGATAGATACACTCTGACCGGAAAATATGGCTTAGGAACTTTTCAAAATAATAGACTGCAATTGCAACGTTAAATTGATCATAAAACATTTTTAACTATTTATCAAGAGTTCTATATTATATTTTATATACATACATTATATATGTGGATTAATGTATGATGTAAAATATATTCAGTTTCCAAATACATATACAGATATTAAAAAACCTGATATAAGCACAGTAAACTGTCTCGTTAATGTGACAGAACTTATACGGTACTTTCCTTGTTGTGACGATGCTTAAAGAGCTTTACATAATTTGCCTGTACCCCATAACTGGCATGTAACCCAGTGAAACCTGGGATGGCAGAGATAGTCTTTGTACACTTCCAAAACCCTGTGCCGCAAGTTTAATTTAAGTTTAATTAAACTGGAATTAACCTTTCTTTTTTTCCCTTCTTGTAAAACTAATAAAAATGCACCTGGGTCCCATTCCACCCAGTATACCACAAAGATGAAAAAAATCTCCATTTAGAAAAAATATCATAAAATGTGAAAAATTGTCATTCATGTCAATAAACCTCTCTAAATCGCATTTCAAACAAAGACTTTCTTCAAGTTAATTGTGTACAAATATTCTCCTTTGCAATTCAGCTAAACAAATGCCAATAAACCTTAATTTGTTTATTACAGAACTATATCCCCCAAGTTTAATTACTGCTACTAAATGTCCATGTTTCTATATCATATTAAACTTTACAACAACTTAATTAATAATTGGTTTGCATAGGCATTGAGGAACACTGCACCGTATACATCATGCAATATTCTAGAAGTGACACGTGATTTTAAAAAAAGAACAATTTAAATGTATTTAGAGTTCTGACACCTTAAGCAGGTCTCCTTTTTTAAGTTAGTCAAAACTTTGATTCAACAATGTTGACTTTTATTGCGAAAAGACAAACCGGATGTGCTGTCTATTATTATCGGGAACTTTTCACCAGTCGCCATCGTCATCATCTGTACGCACGGCGGCGACAGGACCTTCTTGAATCGGCAGGGACGGGTCTCCCTCCGCGATTCCGTGTCAATGCGAAGGAAAAACACCGACACGAAGTAGAAAGACATCAGCGGAACCCCCAAACCGAAGGTCTCCCTGCAAACTCCGATGGATTAATCTGATTTTGCTGCGGTAAGTTCGCCTGTTTTCCTCTAGTCTCCCTCCCTCCGTTGTGTTGAATTTCAATTGCTGCACCGCCTTGTCCCCTATTCTACGGTGCGAGATGAAAATCCCCTCGGGAGAGTCGAGCAGATAAATAACACTCTGCAAATGTACGGTGTCTGCGTTCACGCCATATGTTCACTGTTGGCTCCGCGTTTTAACAGGGGTTTAGCCTCGGTCCTCAGAAATGTGTGTAAACGTGAATAATTGTATTAATTGTGGACGGTGTTTTTGCGGTGCTGTGATTGTGTGGAGGGGGGTTCTGGTGTTGCTGCTGCAGCAGCAGCAGCAGTGATGAAGGCGGTGCAGAGCAGAGCTGACCAGTGAGGCCATGCATCCACACACACACACACACACACACATATGTATGTAATAAACGCCACAGAGGCCTAGAGTCCGTCCTATTGATTTAGCACCAAAATAACTGTCATATACTCTGAGTGAATCACACTCTTAAAAATCAAATTAGAGCCTCGTCCTAATCGGGTTATCTGGTGTGTGTGGATGTGCAGCCATCCATCTTGTAGGCAAACGGTGGGGTTGGTGTATCTGTGTGTACTTGTTTTTGTTGCCTCTTTAAGACCCTTTACAGTACAAGTACCTATCACTATCATAGATAAGGAATGTAAGGAGCGTCCGCCACTGCAGTCTGTGATTGCAAGTGAAAAACACCGGAAGTGCTGCACTTGTTTTGAAAGCAATTTCTCTTGTACATAACTCTATTGAGGATGAATCTATTCCTCACTTTTAAATCACCTTGTTTTCTGATTATCTTCTTCTGAAACATGTGAATATTGGTTTTGTTTACCGGTGCATTTAGAGAAAAACAGGAAGTTGATAGACAGTTGAAGTGGTAGTAGGTGGGTAAATTGGATTGGACACGTGAGTGAGTAGCTGTGTCATTCTGTGTTTACGTGCACACATTAGCCTCAGACAGTTGACTTCACAGTTTTAACACTGAGCTAAATGTACCCAAAACCCCTGTAATAGATGTAGGAATTGTTATATAGTTGGCATTATACAAAAACTTGGTATCACCAATTTGTTGACAGTGGGGGAAAAGAGAAAAATATCTTTTATTACCACGAACAAGTAATTTGTAATGCTTAAGAGGTTCTGGTCATTAAAACCTCTAGTGGACCCCACGTGTATTGTCAGAGTTTATTTGTTTTGAAGAAACCTTTAAGATAAACATGGGCAAATGAAAGCCTTTTGGGAATTTTAATTTGGATCGAACATTGGAGAACAGTCTCCTAACGTAACCTCTGTGTCAAAACAACTGGACCAAAGAAAAGACCACTTTTTTTAATCGCACACTGATCCTTCCAGGTACAGTAGTATGCCTGTGTATGTTCTTCTTGTGTGATAAATGGGATACTATACTATATATATTATACATTTAAAATAAATTCTGGTCTGTCCATCAACTGTGTGGCCATTGACCCAAATAGTTTGCTCACCTCTATTTTATGACTATAAATTTATATAATGCAAAACTGTGTTTCGGTCAAAGTTAGCAGGATGGTTAAAATTTTTTGTTTCGGTCAAAGTTAGCAGGATGGTTCCTGTATCTTTATTAGATACAGTACAGAAATACGTCATCCGTTCTCTGTCTATGACAAACGTACTCGGAGCCTCAGCCATAGTTACAAGTTCTTTTGTCAAACATGTATAGTTGATGCAACTGTGCACTAACTTGATGATGATGATAACTCAAGAGCTGCAAGGCTCTGCTGGGTGTATATTTATAAACCAACACACAAATACTGCACAAGCACTCAGCTGAGGTTAGCTCGCTGCTACACACAGACATATTTCTGCAGCTATTTCAGTCAGTGCACGCCACTGACTTTCATTCATTTAAAGAGCCCGACCAAAGCCTTACCCGTAACCATAAACATATAAAACTCAGTAATAATTTAAATGATTATGTTGACTTTTTTAATTATTATTATTTCTGTGTAGATTCTGTCCCCTGGTTAGATTTACACAGATCTTTAGAATTGCTTTCTAATTATTTGGACTGGTGTCTGACATTTCTACAAATAGTGGACATTGTTTGTTGTTTGTCTGTAAGTGAGGACTTTTGCTGAGTCTATTTGAAAATAAAGATGCTACTGCTAAATTTATAACTTCAGTGAATGGAGAGTAATTGCTCATTCATTAGCTTCATATCCTTGTGTTGTACAATTTGTAAATTACTATACAATTTAGATTTACATGAGTATGTAGGAGAATGGCATCTATGAGAGCAGAAGTCCCCAACCACTGGGCCCCAGAGCAGAAGTCCCCAACCACTGGGCCCCAGACCAATACTGGGCCACGGATTATTTGGTACTGGCCTGAAGAGATTGAACAATAACATATTGTTTCAATTTTGTATCAGTTTGTATCATATTTTATTTAAAAAAAATACTTAATAATAATCTAATACTAACATATTTGGAGAGCTTCTTTCAAAAAAGGAAATGACACAAAGAGGAAACAGAAGATAATCATTTGACTCCTGAAATTAAAGAATGTTGCTTTCACAGTCCATTTAAAGGTTTCAGTTTTAATGTACCTGATTTTCACGTGCAATGCTCATGTGACACACTTGGTGGTTTTCAGCATTATAGTGAGTTTTACGTTCAAGCAATTCAGATTGTTTACATCTCAGCCAAATAATTAGACTTTTCACAATTGTTATCATAACTTGATGTCCAGTCAGTGATAATGTTGTCTTATGTAAGCCCAATCCATGACCCAAGAAAGCTGAGGGACCTGTTTTGTTATTATTTACGTATTACTTAGTCAGCAACCCAGAGTTAAAAAAACATCCATTTCCATCCGGTAATAAAGTTAAATGTGAAATTCCTGTAACATAAAGATTTGTTTTGTTTCATATGCCACGGCTTATGATCTATCTAAACTCTGTCTAAAAATGTCAGTTTCTAGTGTTGAAGTCATTAAATATGTTATTCTTTAAAAAAAAGAAGAAAAACACTTCACAGAAAGAAACCACCAGCCAGCATTCTTTCACTGTCAGAAACACTCAGTCAGAAACAACCTCGATGCGACAGTCACTCATGTTTAAATCTTAAATTGTCAGAGTCAGTTAAATTTGACCTTCTCTGTGTGTCTATACTGCAGCATTTACTGTATGACTCGTGCCTCAGGTTGCACTTTCCATGGACCTAACCAAAAAACTTCTGCCCCACATTTCTCCAGGCCCACAACATCAATATTTCCAGTGGGTTCTTACGCTGACCGTTGCCCTGCATTGGCATGACATGTGGAAAGTCTGGTTTTTAATGCAGACCTATGGGCACAGGCAGCCACGACCAGCTGGGGCGAAAAAGAAAAGTTAGTACAGGTTTTTCATAACAGTTTGCCCAATTACACCATTTGAACAAGTGTGAGAGACTAAACACAATACTCGGTCTGAATGGACGCTCACAATCGTCTCAGTTATTTAAGATTGTGACTCATCACACTCAGCTGTGAACATTGTGACTCTGAAGCCCAGCAAGGCTCAAACCCACACATGAACGCAGTATGAAGCTCAGCTGCGGGTTTTATAACGAGCTGCGCTCATTCAGGAACACTTTGAAAAGGCCTTAACACTGCCTTACATTGTGCAGATAATCTTGCAGCGGAGTAAAATGTGGCCATTGTCTTTTTGATACACTGAATGAACTCACTTGTCCAACACAAGCAAATATTGTAAATATTCAGAGAATGGCAGTCGTAAGGAGGAGGATGGCGGAGCTTTTCCAGTAAACAAGGCCAGTGAGGTTTATATGAATTCAAATGGAATACAGAACAGGAACCAGCCTCATTGGGCCTTTCATCAATAATATAAAAGTTTTATTTTGTATTCGAATAAGGTCAATGGAAGTGTGACTTCAGTGGGACGACAGTGGGTGGGTTGACCTCACGTTGTACGTCAATGATTCAAATGATGCGCCACAAAATTAAAATGCCAGACTTGCATTCGTCTGCATAATGATTATAATCTCCAGCGATTTGTCAGTTCACCAGGGTTAAATGATGACGATGTTAAAGATGTAATAGGCTGACAATCACCCGACAGTTATCTAATTACAAAAGCACAGTATTTTTTTTTTTTTACTTTAATTGGGTTATATTTTTAAGGACAGAAATGACAGCAGGTCAACAGATATGATTTTGTGTTGGTCTTGTATGAACAAATATTTTTATCTTTGCATTCATACAGCCTTTTTATTCATTCATTATTCATATAGCTATGTAGAATAAAGATAAAGAAAAAATATATATTATAATTGTTAGTAATACATTAACACCAATGATAATAAAAACAATGCACTACACAAACAAGTGTAATTTATTCAAACAACAATAATAATATTATTGTAATAATAATTTTTTATAATTATCCAAAATTAGAGTCCCTGTTATGATTCTCAGAGCTCACGGTGTCATCATCGAATGGCTGTAAATTAATCAATCAATGCTTCTAAATGTTAATTCGTTTACATTTTAATTAACATTTTCATTTTTATTCTCTTTCAGTTTCACCTGACCGATAAATCAGATTTTTCCAAAACGCTACGGGATTCAATTTGCGTTGGTCCATTTAATTATTTTGTCCACCTCTTCTGGCAATTGAAATCAGTGCTTTCAGTTTAATTAATTCTCTGTTGTCTTCTTGTGTCGCACCGCATCAGGCTGCACGTATGTCTGTTTCCCAGGCTTCATTGACAGACTCTTGTTTAATCCATCAGCCACGCCGTGTGACCCTGACATGTCTGTCCTTTCCATTCAGCTACTTAGTTAGCATCGCCATAAATGGCTGAATACTTCATCACGGCTCCCTGCTCTTTGTGTGTGTGTTAATATAGATGATTAACACTCATGCCCATACAGGGCCACCATAACAGGCTTCATATCATAAATTTATTTCCAGTTCAACAAGACATTTGTGACTAATGTGGTAGCACTGACCC